TGCCACATCACTCGTTGCAGTGTCACTGGCACTGGATGTGGCCTGTCCCACGAGTACGGAGAGTAATGGGAGGGGGGGTCATTTAGCGGGTGCGGAGCTGTGAGGGCAGAGTGCTTTTCAACCCTCCCCTCTTGGGAAGAACCTCTCTTCTAGTTTCTCACCAGTGTCTCTGGTTTATTCAGGAGCGGCTATGAGTCTGCTTCCAAGCACTTCAATCCAGCTGATGTGGAGGTGAATGTGGCTGGAAGATCCTTTCTGGTCACTGGTGCCAACAGCGGCATTGGCAAGGCCACAGCCAAAGAGATAGCGAGGAGAGGTGAGCCGGGCTGTCGTGGGGAGCTCTGAGGGTCCTTGCAGAGAAGATGGAAGGAAGCAGGTTTGGCCTTCCAGTGCAAACATAAAGACATAACTCCCTGGAATGAGGGGTCAAGTGTGTTATTTTACAGGGCTGTTAGTGTGGGTTGGAGGTTTAAGCATGATCAGTGCTGTGAAAACTGGAATAATGAAACAGAATTAATGGAGAGGATCTGCAAAGTGTTTCTCAAGTGCACATCTACCGAAACTATCTGTGTTGTAGTGGCATCTAAGGATGCTCGTGATGGATCAAGGTCTATTTAAAGCTTATTCAGTGCAAGTAGCAGCCTGGCTGAATTTGTACTGTTTTGAAGAACTTACAAATATATCACATGATGAAATAAAACAATCAGCTTTGATAAGCTGAGATGGGAGAGTATAAAAGAAGCAATGTACTTGTGCTCGATCTTAATGATAATAACCTGGAGTTTGTGCCTTATAACTGACTACATGCAATTTTTTTTTTAATCTGTTGATCTCTGTAAGCTAGGAGATGGTATGAACTGGAACTAGCTACTGTTGAAGGATAAACCTAATCCCTTTCAAACAAAATAATTCCTGTTGTGCAATAGTGATCAGTGTTTTGGCATGAAGAATAAAAAGGAGGAGCTTCTGGCTCTTTGCTCTCTCTCTTTCCCAAAAATTCATAACTTCTTACGAAGGAAAGTGGTGACTCAGTTAAATTAAACTAATTCAAGATTATTAGCATCAAAGAGCCTTTGGGTTAAAGATCCTCATCAGTGCCAGTATGTGATTTTCCCACTACTGCCATTATGTATAATAGCCTTATGTAAGTATTGCTTTGTCTGGTGACTGATTTACTCACGAATGGATATGCCTGCCAGGCTTTGCAAGCTGTCAAGCTGACTGGAGCTGCATAGGATTTGGTCACCATGTCTACTCCAGAGAACAACCTTGGGCTCAAACTGCTTGTCTAATACCTTGCATGGGTGTTGCTGTGCATATGAAGTTAAAATGACTTAACAGTGTCTTCCTGATCCTATCCTTGCACGTGTCACTCTGAAATTCAGTGTCAGCTGTTGGGGCTCTGGTTTCTAGTTGAATGTCTCCAAGTACACCGTGACAAGAAAATAAGGAATTCGGACTCAACAAAAGAATATGTTGGCTTTACCTTTAAGCACTTCAGATCTTTGTAAATAATGACAGTCTTGGTGACAATTTCTTTAGCCTGAGTTCAGCTTTTCTCTGAATCGGTATCTTACGGGTGTTGCTGTTTTGAGCTTCCTGTATGTCTTGTGAACTGCACTTCCAGTTTGATGCAGTTTTATCCCAGCCACTGTGACAATTCCCATGTGTTGTTTAAGTTCAAATAATTTCAATTTTTATTATAGAAAATATATTTCATACCAAAACTTCCCTCTCTCCTTAACAGCAAGAAAAGAGTTCATATTCAAAGCCCTTAAAACCCACCTCTGTTTTCATTGAATGTTTTCCACTGCAGACCTTGAGAATGTTCCTGATCAGGTTGAAGGCCAGCTACTTCTTCTGTGTTCAATTTATACCTGCACACATTAATTGTGCTGTCCTCTGCGTTTTGGGAAGAGCTCCTTAAACATCTGCAGATGCACATCCTTAACTGCCTTAAGATCTGTAATTAAAGCCCTCCTTTGCAGTGAAGTCTACAGTCACTGTGAGAATGGCCAAAGTGGCAAGCATTGGGCCCTGCTCCTTCTGATTGCCGTTTCTCTCACATTCAGAGCCTGACTGTGCACAGTCCCTTCCATGCCTGGTATATGTCTTAACACAAACTGAAGATGCAACTGTATTAAACATTGGTTGGTTAGTGCATTTGTATGTTTATTTTAGATTTGGGAGTTTCCCCACTGATGCCTGCAGTTGTGCACCTGGTAAAAGTAACTCAGACAACTCTGGCAGTGCAGTGGAGGAACCTGTTAGAAAATTTCAGAACAACCTTGAGGCTTGTTGCCTGCATCAGCTACATGCCAAGTCTACTTACTGTAGTGGTGCTCAGTGGAAAAACCTCTCTTACAGGCAGAAAATTTCATTATTAGACCTCACACTGGGCTGTGCAGTGTGTGACTGCTCTATCCCTAGAGTAGACTTGGTGTCTTGCATTTGGGTTCTGGGCACTGGAAGAGTGACCCAGCACTGTTGTTTCTATTATCGATCCTTTGGGATTACTTTGCCTGAGCCTTCTAGTGGTGGACTGCTGGCAACCCCTAAAACACCTTTAACAATAGGTAAAAGTAGAGTGCAGGTACTCCTGTGACTGAGATTAAGACATTACTTGTAATGGTCAGAGAATATGAAGCATAAAAATAAAAAAAGAATTATGTCTAGCTGTACTTCAGTCCTCTTTTTGAAGGCTCTCTTCAATGTGACCTCATAACTTTATGGTGAGTATCCAGGCCTTTGAGAGGATCCTGCCCTGCATATTCCTTTCATAGCAAAGTTGGTTGGAGGGGACCTCTTAGGGGTCATCTTGTCCAGCATCCCACTTGCCAACTCTCGATCAAACCAGTCATTGCTTTGTCTTGCTGGATCTTGAAACCTGCAAGGATGGAAATTATGCATCCTCTTGGGACAGCCTAATCTATTTAGAAGATAACTTTTTTTCTAAATGCCTGACCTCAGCCTCTTAAGCTGCAATTTGTGGCCATAGTCCTTGTCATATCTCCCACTGCTGAGAAGAATTCTCATATCTGACATTTTTATTTCCTTTTCACAGAGCAATTCCAGATGCTTGTGTTGTTCAAGCCCTTTACTGAACTTTCTGAAGCGTGTACCAAAAGAAGCATTTACAATACAGATGCCTTAGCTTCAATTTTCAGTGTAGCTCTGGTATTTTATCAACACTAAACATGATGTGCAGACTTGACAGAAAATGGTTTGCGTAAACAGTACCCAGGGTGCAGTGACCTTTTCCATACGTGCAGCCTTGCATGAGGACCCTGTTACAACATACTACTTTCTCCTGCCTGCACAGAGACCAAAGACAAGCAGAAGTCTTCCAGTTTTCTTACTATATCCATTCTTTGTGTCCTAAACCTTTTGTCTGAAGGACCTTTACCTGAGTTTTTTGACAGACCGTTTTGGGATTCTTGATGTGTCCAGTCTGCCCGATGGTACTGCTGGGTTGGTGCCTTTTGGGGGGAATTTCTTACTGACAAAGGACCAAGGCTGGTGGACCTGGGACTGTTATGGGGTGCTCTGTCCCTAAGCAGCTCCCTGCTCCCAGCTCATCAAGCAGGTGTCATGGGAGCCCTGAGAGCTCCACAGACCTCAGCTTCAGCAGCACTGATGAAAAGCCACTGCTCAGCTCTTGGCAGCAGAGAAGTGGGACTGTTGTCTGTGCACAGCTCAGGAACATTCTGCCTGCTGGGAAACTCCGTGGTATTTTGGTGACCATCTGACCAGTATTACCACTGTTTTTAGCAGGCTATAGATCTCCCACAAACTGGAGTGCGGTCACAAAAGGGCTTTTTGTTTCATTCGGATTGTATAAAAAAACTAACCCCAAACGAGAACTGCAAATTGCACATCACTTCCTGGCCCTCCCTCCCTCCCTCTTTGCTGATGTCTTCCCCAAACACGGCAATTAATTATCAACTGTGTTTCTTGTCGGAATCCACCAGGTGGCACGGTGCACCTGGTTTGCCGAAATAAGGAGCTGGCTGAGGTCGCCAAAGGGGAAATAGTGACAGAAACGGGCAATCAGGTGAGTTGTTTTTCAGTCTTTTGTTTACTCGTAATAAGGGTGTTAATATTAAAGGCCTTGGAGGCCTTGAGATACTGTGTTGTCATTTTGCTTTTGTGTTTTTAATAGTGTTTTCGTACAGACATGGAAACATCTAGTTATTTATCATCCATATGATTTGAAGTTATTTAATTTCAGTAAGTGCTGTTTTCTGTGATTAATAACATCACCAACAGCCTGCTGTTTTATTTAATGTTTGTTGTTGATATGCTTTGTGATATCCTACTTACTATTCCTAACTGTGTGGCTGAGGCTTTTAAAAGTTAATACATTGCAACACTCTTGCAACAACATTTACGAGTTTACAGCATTGGAGTAGAATGTTTTATGTGTCTGAATAATATGCTGTTGACTTGCTAAGGTTGGCTGCTCTGTCAAGTCCTGTGTGTGGTCCTAGTTCCATGTTCTACAGGCTTTTCCATCTCCTTTTCTTACAATATCTCTTCCTTACCTATAGAATCATAGAATGGTTTGGGTTGGAAGGGACCTTAAAGATCATCTAGTTCTACCCGTGATGCTGTGAGCAGGGACACCTTCCACTAGACCAGGTTGCTCAAAGCCTCATCCAGCCTGGCCTTGAACACTTCCAGGGAGGGGGCATCCACAACTTCTCTGGGCACCCTGTTCCTCCTCCCTTCTGTTACAGATTCTTTTTGCTTTTTCATGTATCTCTCTATGGTATACCCTGTAGCTGTCACTATTGCTTTTGCTAATTATTCAGGAAGGTGTGCTTATGGAGAGTTACAGTCATTGTCTTTCTAGCTTGGTGTACTGGTTTTGGCTGGGATGGAGTTAATTTTCTTCATAGCAGCTCCTATGGTGCTATGTTTTGGATTTGTGACCAAGATAGTGTTGACAACCCATGTTTTAGTTATTGCTGAGCAGTGCTTGCACAGCATCAAGGCCTTTTCTGGTTCTCATGCCGCCCTACCAGCGAGCAGGCTGAAGGTGCACAAGAAATTGGGAGGGGACACCCTGGGAGAGCTGACCCCAGCTAACCAGAGGGATATCCCATACTGTACGATGTCATGCTGAGCAATAAAAGCTGGGGGAAGAAGGAGGGACATTTGCAGTTATGATGTTTGGCTTTCCAAATCACTGTTGCATGTGATAAAGCCCTGCTTTCCTGGGGATTGCTAAACTCCTGCCTCACAATGGGCAGTGGTGAATGAATTCCTTTTTTTGCTTTGATGGCACACAGAGCTCTGCTCCACTTATTAAATTGTCTTTATGTCAGCCCACAAATTTTGTCTGTTTTACCCTTCCATTTCTTTCCCCCATCCCACTGGGAGGGGAGTGAGCGAGTGGTTATGTGGGGCTTAACTGCCTGCTGGGGTTAACCCACAGCACTGGGGTGGAGAGCTAACTGATTTTAAATAGAGACCTGGCTCTTGAACACAGTATTTTAAAAACTGTTATTGGAATCAATGTGGATCCAAAATTCTAAAGACTTTTTATGTTTAGAGATTTTGTATTGACTAAATTTCTGCTCTTTGGTTTCAGTTCCCTAGTGTGACACAAGTGGCATTAAACTTCAGTTCTTTAACAGAGGTGAATTAGATCAGTCCTTATGTAGAAATAAGGAGAAGTTTATAACTGTGTAATCCCATGGCTACAGTAAGACTGGTGGTTATCTGTGTTACCTCCTTTTCTAACTGCAGTCACACAGCCTGGGAAGAGAGGAGAGTTCGATGACCTCTGAAGGTTCCTTCATGTTCTGGTTTCTGTCATTTAGTGAAACAAAACTTGAGGCAAATAATGTTCTTTCTTTAAAAGCAGCACAGTTGCTGCATCCTCACTCTTTGGCAGGCTGCAACCCTGTCGTTTCTCTAGTCATGGAAAAGTATGGGGGCACTGCAGAACTTGTTTGTGACCCTAGGGACAGGGCACTTGTATGAAAAGCAGCATCCAGTGACGTGTTCAATGAGCTGTACAAGAGGCCCTGTGGGACACGTGACTGCATGGGGAAGAGTCATTCTAAGAAGGAGTCCACAAGAACTTCCTTCTTTATAAGTACTCATTCAGAAGGATTCCTGGGAGATAATAAAATGCTTTATCTGCAACTTGACAAGCTGTATCCAGACTTAACTTGCTCTCCCTGATCATCTGGATGGAGATCCTGTTGTTGTATAGGCCAGAAATTTTTCCATCTTCCTCAGCAACACGTGCCAGAGTTCAGCACTGGAGTTGCTATTGGACAGGCAGCTGCACCCAGACCTGGGAACTGGGAAGTTCTCCTAATCTGTTCAGGTAGATCTAGTCATGGAGATTGGTCTCACTTTGAAAATGACTTTGCTACCGTGGAGGACTTTTATGGTTCCTTTATAGAGAACAGGTCTGTGGGTCCTTTTTCTGAGCCAATGTGGCAGTCTTCAGCAGATAATTGTTGTTTTAGATCTTTTTCTGTCCCTGAAATCACTGGTAATATTGAACATCTGGCCAAAAAACTTCAGTTCTTTTGTTCCTGTAGATAATGGTAGTTGCTTTAAAAGTAGAACACTTCTAAAGAGGTATCCAATTAGAAACAGTAGAGCAGTGTCAAGTTGTTGGTCAGAAATTAACATTATGATTAGAAAATTCTGACCTAACTCAACTAAGGAGCTGAAATCCAACGGCTTAGAGTGAAAATTCATGTGTTTTATCTTCCAGGGAAGCAGAATTACAGGCAGGTAATAGTGCCTTATAATTTTCTCAGCTTTTTCACTTATCTCATTTGCTTGTATAATGAGTATTTAAAGAAACAATTTGGAAAGAGAAGAGGCCCTTTAATGATTATTTGTTGTTTTGCATGAGAACACATCCTCTGCATAATTATTTTAAAACTGCCTTTTCCTGGGATACGTCATAAGACTATCTGTGGGGTGTCTTTGAGACTTAAGTGCTGTCTAGGAGAAGAGTAGGAGTTGACATGCCTTTTGTGTGCTGATAAATGCCACTGTACTTGTACTAGGTGGAACACAAATTTTCAAAAAGCAAGAGAATTGCCTGTAACAAACAGTAAAAGGTCTTTGATGTTTCCAAGACAGGAGATATTTCTAGCTTTAGTGGTTTAGAAAATTATAACTTTGCTCTCATGTCAAGCTTTTTTTTTTTTTAATTCTATTTCATCCACATCTTTGGCCATAGTACTTCAGAACGTTGCAAGACTGTTGTGACAGGGGACAGGTAACAGGGATTTAGCTGTTCATGCAGCAGTTAGCATGGAAGGGGGTGCAGAAGGCACCTGATGCTCTGAGACAGCTGAGTGATGCACCTGAAAGTATGCTCTCCTGCCCTGGATGGAGCAACTGTGCCTGGCATGTGGGAGGCCGTCCCAGACAGAGCTCCAGAGGAGTGATATGGTGGATGTTGGACGAGGCTCTGAGCAACCTGATCTAGTTGAAGATGGCCCTGCTCATTGCAGGGGGTGTTGGGACTAGATGACCTTTAAAGGTCCCTTCCAACCCAGACTGTTCTATGATTCTATGTTGGGCTGCAGGGAGTGACTGGTACTTCTCCCTGAGCCTGGGACTGAGCATGATGATGGCCTGTTGGGTTCTGCTGTGGTCAGGGTGCTGGGCTGCCAGGTGAAGCCACTGCAAGAGATGATCAGGCTGCATAACTGCAGGGAGCAGAAATTGGAGAATGACAGAGTCTTTGCAGAGAGGAGAAGAGCACAACCCCACATTGCATGGAAGGAGGGACAGTTAGAAGCTATGCTCAGATAAGCAGTGGATAGAGACTACTAAGATGGGGAGGACTGGAAGCTTGTGACTGCTGGCAGCAGAAGGCAGGTTTGTTCTCTGCCTGCAGATGTGCAGTTGTAGGACAGGTGTAGTGCCATGGTAACAGATGAGGAAGAACAACCTCTCTCAGGGGAGGTATTTGAGCCAGATG